ATCAACATTTTTTGTTTATATATTTATCCTACTCCTCTACACACATACACACACACACACATGTAATTATATAAAATTTTATTATTGTCTGATGAAGTCCATTTGAAGGTTGGAACACATTATGTAAAATCTTTTCCATTTTGTCATCCAATTATCTGCTAATTTAATCATAAAATAATTGAAAGCATTATTTAATTTTACAATTCCATGTTTTTAAGTAGCCATATCACATTTAGACTCTCATATGGATTTCATCCAACTTGTTCAGAAATGTTTAAACGATAATTTGTAGTCTGTGAAACTAACCTGAACTCATCTATACCTTCCTCTGACCTCTTGATTCCTGGCTACCTTCCACTACTTAGAAAGGACTCTAAAGTCCACTTGCATGACCTGAGAGTTTATGTCCATGAACATCTCTTGCTAACTCTCAAATCTCTTGACCATTTGTACATGTGTCTCTGTCTCTCTCTACTTAATTCAGTCAGCTATCTCTTCTTTCTCTACTGTTTACCTTCCTCTCAAGACTGTTGTGTGCTAGTCAGTCAATCTTCCTACACTCATCTGCTAACCTATTCGTGTTTGGTAACTTTAACATCCACCATGCCAGGTGGCTTGGACACTCTGTCACTGACCTTGCTGGCATCCAAACCATGAAGTTTTCAATCACTCAATCCCTTACATAAGCGGTTGACCTTCCTACGCGTTTCCCCATTAACCTTGGCAGAAATGCTTCTCTTCTTGATCTATTTTTTTTCTCTATCACTGACTTTTGTCTTACAATGCAGCTCTGCCCCCTTTCAACTTTGATCATACAGTAGTGTCTGTAAAAGTTTCTTTCCACTCCCCACCAGGCATGAACATCCTAACTGGGACTCATTCTGTGATTTCCTTCATGACGTCCCTTGGAATTCAAGTTTTCAAACATCCCGTTCAAAAATGCATGTCTGAGGTTTCCTCCTGGGTGAAAACCAGCAGTGATGCTTTCATTCCAATTGGGAAATACTGAGTAAAACTGTGTTTGTCTCCTTGGTTCTCACCTGCTTGCTCAGCTGCCATAACCCACAGGAATCACTTCTGACTGTACCAGAGTAATATGTCATTGTAACAGACGTCTTTTTGTCTCCTCGTAACGAATGCAAACATGTCCTCAAGTCGGCAAAGTTACTATTTGCTGATAGAATGAAACAACGTATAGTATCTCACATGTTCTAGAGATTATTGGCGGCTCAGCAAATCCTCAATCCCTCCTCTATTCAATCAATTTAAAGTCCTAACATCTACAGCAGATAAGGCTGAATGCTTTGCTCATAAATTCTCTTCCAACTCAACACTCGACTCATCTGGTGTCCACATCTGGACCACCCCCTTCCGAACTGAGGTTATACTCAGTGATATATACATAACCCTGTTGATGGTCTCGGACATAATTTCTAAATTAGACTCCCATAAAGCAAGTGGAGGTGGCAGGATAGCAGCTGTTGTCCTAAAGAAATATGCTCCTGAGCTGGCTCCAGTTCTCTTCAAACTATACAACTATTGCCCCACAGCTTCCTGCTTTCTAGCTTGTTGGAAGTACTCCTCTGTTGTTCATGTCTTTAAGAACTCTGGAGGACATTCTGACCCCTCTAACTACTGCCCTATCAGTCTCCTACCAATTTTCAGCAAAATCTTCAAGGTCTTAATCAATGCCAAAGTAGTTAAGCATCTTACCTCTCATGATCTACTCTCTGACAAACAATATGGGTTCTGGTTAGCCCAGTCTACCACTGACATGCTTACGGCCATAATTGAATATATACCAAGCTCTTGATAATAATGGCGAAGCTCGAGTTGTGGCTCTAGATATATCAAAGGTGTTTGACAGGGTTTGGCATGCTGGTCTTCTATATAAACTTCAGGGCTACAGGGCATTTATTTGATTTAATCCAATCATTCCTATCTAATTGGGAAATGAAGTGTCATTCTGAATGGGATCTCTTCCAGTTCCTTTCATACTAATGCAGGTTTTCCCCAGGGCTTTATCCTGGGTCCTACACTGTTTCTGACATTCATCAATGATCTCCCTGATGTCACCAGTTCCCAAGTAGGCATCTATGCAGACAACACTACCATTTACTCCTGTCTCAACAGTAAGCCCGGCAGTGCTGACAAAGTTAACCTGGCCGCTGTTCTCAAAAAGGACTTCCAGTCAGTGGTTGACTGAGGCAGAAAATGGCTTGTAAATTTTAATATCTCCAAAACTAAGCTGCTCTCATTTAACCACCATAGAGAAACGTCCTTGCACCCCCATCAGCATGGTTGATGCTCATCTCTGCGAGAGCATCTCTCTGCACCTTCTTGGTCTTCAACTGACTTGAAGTGGAACAACTATATTGAATCAATAGCTGTGTCTACTGCAGGGAAAGTTGGTTCACTGTGTTGTGTCAGAAGGTATTTCTTGTCAGAGTTCATCTCACACATCTAAAAATCTACCATTCATCCTTGTATTGAATACTGTTGCCATATCTGGTCTGGTGCCATTGCTGTTCATCTCAAGGTTCTCTACATAATCCAAAGAAGGATCTGTAATGTAATCGGTCCTGAATTGGTTTCTCGACTTCAGACACTCTCTCATTGACAAGGTGTGGCTTCTCTCTGTCTATTATACAAATATTTTCATGGCTCTGACGAGCTTTTTTCTCTGATGCCCCAACTACATGAATTTAAGCATGCTACTAGATTGGCATCTCGGTCCCACCCATTTACTGTTGAAATAGTTAAAAGCAACTGTCACGTCTACGCCAACATTTTCTTTCCTCATACTTTCCGACATTGGAACTCCCATCCTCTCATTTGCTTCAGAATCTTAAATGCAACGTCAATCACCATCTTCTGTTGCCTTGATCCCTGTCCTTTTTTCAATTCCTCAATCTTCCCTACACCCACTCTTTTCTTTCATTTTCACTTTCTGTAACCCACTGCATGCTAGTGGCATTCCCGCCTTGCTTGAGGTGAAATGCTTAAAAAAAATGTTTTCTCAGATGAATGATTAAAAAACAGAATGAATCCTTTATGTCTTAAAGAAGACAATCCTTCATCAGAACCTATAGATTAACATTACAAAATCACAAAGAGATTTACCAAATTAACACAAACTACAACAAAAATGGGTAGCACATGTAACTAGAAGAGAAAATAATGATACACTTAAACTGTTAACTTTCCTCTCTCCACAAAACAAATGGTTTGGAAGGAAACTTCCATCAATACTAGAAAGAACAATAACATTTAGTGGACTTGAGAAGTCTTTTTAAGAAAAAGACCATATAAATTTCAACCAGCAGTAACTGTTTGGTCAGTGAATGTCAAATATTTCCTCTATGGAAAGGCATAGTTTCTAATGTCACCACCACCATTACCACTGGTTGTATTTTCTACATGAGCAATTGAGGATTTTTAATTTTTATCTATGCACTTAACTCTATTGTCTCATGCAAGAAAGAGTTCCCTTTTTCATATAATTAAAAGTAATAATATCCAAAGAAAGTTAACACAAAAGTAATCAAACTAATGTACTAGCAACCTGTTTTTTTAATAATGAGATATTCCTTTTCATGATAACACAAGACATGTTCACTTATTCAATAATTTGTGTTAGTTACTGTAACAACAGTATTAGAGGAGATCAAGCTGTTTGTGATACATGTTTATATACAATAGATATTTTTAAGGGAGATTATTATGTTTTTTTTTTTTCTGGCGTATGTCAGAGGGTATCCCCCAGATGTGGCTATGCCCGAAGGGTAGAGTCTCGTCTCGGGAAACCGACTCCGTTTTTGCGTAGTAGGGAATTTTTGCCCGAGCCTACGGGCTCAGATACTCCACTTTAAAACTCGGCCTTGTGCCACATCTTGCTGCGTGGGGCAGTGGGTAAATAATTATACATATATTTTTAAGGACAAAAACAACTATTTGTCTTTAAAGCTGAAAATTCACCAGTTATCATTCAAATAATGTCATTTGTGTCGTGTATTTGTCTCTAGAATGTTGTGGAATATTGTAATTTCGTCTGTTTTACTTTAAACAATCAAGCAAAAATTATTTTGTTAACTAACAAGTGACTCTGGCTTAGGAATTTTGCAATAATAAACCGATTTTGTGTTAAATTTTAATAATTTTTGTTGTAATTAATGTTCTTATTTATCTTTTAAAGAGTAAAAAACCAAATGAAATATTTTTATAACGATAGAAAAAAATATAAATCACCCCAAACTTCCACTTTAAAAAAAAAAAAAACGTTTCCTATTTAGAAAAAAACATTTTTCATTTATTGCTCCTTCTTTACTTATAATTCGCCATTTTTTGTGGAGTTTTGAAACTTTGAAAATATAATGTGAGTGAAAAGAATAACTCCAAATTATGATTTTAAAAAAAAATTTTTTTGCTTTTTTCTCCCATTCAGGAGTTTTTGAGTAAAATTCCCTAATTTGTTTATTTTTTCTTTTATCTAAGAATCACATCTTTTATTGAGTCAATTCAAACAAAGTTACAAAATTAATTAATAAAATATATTTTTTAAAGTTTGAACTTATATTCTTTTTTTTTAATTTTTAATTAGATATGTTTTTTGCTCCTAAAAATTAATCGCGTATTTTTTGTTTGCATTAAAAAAAAACAACAACAAAAAAAAAAAAAACTAATTTATCACATAAAATTTCTAAAATATCTACTAATTATTATTATTATTATTATTATTATTATAACTACAATCGCAGCGGAAACGCAATGTTAAAAAATGAACACTACGAAACTTGTCGAAATTATATTTATAACGAATAATTTCCAAGAGATTTATAATTAATTTATTTGACTAAAAAATATTTAAACAAAAACATTTTTAAAATACAATTCTAAAAAAAAAAAATCTTAAAAACTAAAAAAAAAAAAAAATTAAATCATCAGATAAGCACCCTAAGCAAATCAATATTTAAAAGCTGAAATTCAGCGGCCCGAGTTAGTTCCAAGGAAAGAGGCAGACGAGTTCACTAGTCGGACAGAGACCAGCAGATTTATTTATCCACGTAAGTAATGTCCTCAAACCTTTTATGGTTAAAAAAAAAAAAAAAAAAGTCTTCCAATCTAGCGACTGATTCATATTCATTCGTGATTTTTTATATTTAAAAAAAAAAGAAAAAACATTAAATATTAGACCGTATATTTTAATAGAAAAATGTAGGAAATTTATCATTGACTACGTTATTGTGTGAATGAATGCAATGTCTGCTGAGTTGGCCGTAGTTGGTTAAATTAAATACAACTGGACTTGTTTAAGATTAATTAAAATTTTTGTCTGCAGAATCTTTTTTTTCTGGAAAACTGTATTGTAAATTGTTTGAAAGCTCTGATTGCTAGTTCTAACAAAGTTTTAATATTATTTCTTGCAAATAAGTGTTAAAAAGAGGAAAACTGACTCCATTTTTATGGCTACTGCTTTTGACGAAAGCTGACTGAACTGCTATCTTAAGTTTTCTTTAATCGTTTAAATTTTACTTTTGATACGTTTTTGAAACATTTAAAAAAAAAAAAAAAAACAAAGTGATTTTTTTATAGCATCTTAGCATATTCTTGGTCGTAAAACAAAGATTCTACCTCTAGTTATCGTATTTCGAAAAAAAAAATTACATTTATTTTTAAGAAATTTCCTTTTTTTTCCAGAAGGCTAGAGTTAAAGCGTTAGAATTTAAATGTTAGCTTAAATTTTAATTTTTCCTGGCTTCTAAAAATTAACGAAACCTTTTCAAACTTCATTGTGTAACAACCGCAGTCCTGCGTTAAATGACTACTTTACTTAAGCAGGAACGTTTGTGTCGTCAATTTTGATCCAAAATTGCCTCGAAATTTTGAATAAATATTAATTTTTGAATTCTTATTACCGGTTCTGAATCTTTTTTTATTTTTTTTTTAAAATAACCTTTGTAATCTTTTTCGAAACCAATGTCCCGATCTCTCCTTTGTTCGGCGTCTAAACACCATGGCCAGCCCCAGCAGTAATTAAAAATGAATTGTTTTTTGTTGCTTTGTTTGTAAAATAAAAAAGCCAGTCAATTGTACACGTCCCACTTATTTTTTCTTTTCTTTAAGTTTTTAATTTATGAACTAAAAGAATTTTTCTCTAAAAAAAAAAAATAAAAATGACCTTGAGCTGATATGGCGGCAAGAGAAACCGCCTTGACATTGGCGATGTCTGCCTCACCCACTAAAATTTTCTTAACTTTATATTACATCGTCCCGCTTATTTTTCTTGACTTCCTTGATCAGTTAATTTTTACTATTGCTCAGTTCTGTTTATCTTGTGTATTTCTTTAAAAATAATTTAAAATGATCGTCGCAATAACGAAAAGCATTTCCTTTACCAACCGCCATTATTGATGTAGAATTTCATGCGTAATTTTTTAACCGCATAAAACAAAAAAAATTAAAAGCGAACTGATCGACAATTCCCGAATAAATAACTTGTTAAAATAGAACTTAGGAAAAGTTCTCTAGCAAGCACTTTTTATAAATTAATCTCCCTGAAGCAAAGTGCTTGCATTGAAAACTTCGGTTTTTCCCTTAAGAACAAAAAGTGCAGTCGTCATCTTGGGTGACGTCTAATTCGACTGATCATATTTTTTTTTTTTTTTTTTTTAACTATATCTCATCCTCTTTCGCATATAGCAAGTTCTTTGTTTCTGTATTCCAGATAAAAATAGTCTGTTATTTTGAGCGTTAGAAGTATTTTGGTTATTCTATCTTGATTTGATACCATGCACGTCCTTGACACAAGGTGAAGGTGATCGCATAAAAAAAAAAACTCTAGGTCAACTCTTTGGCCTGAAAAAATGGTCTATTTTATTTATTTTTACACGAATCCTTAACGCTTGCCTTTTTAAAATCGTTCAACTTTTTTTACCGATAAAAAGAATAAATAGAATTAAACTCCAATTTCGAGTCCCCCCCCGTTCATTGTCAGTGTCCAAATGAATAGAAATGGTTTTGTCACAATAACTGTAGTGTAAATATTATTTAAAACTTTAAGATTACAGTTTTATTTTAAAATTTAAATGTTTTAAAAATACACATTTTGAATAAAGCCTCTTTTTATTGAATGCCTCAAAGTCCTTCAAGGATAGCATCTGATCAATTTCCAATTAAATAATGAATTTTTTAGTTGCTGGAGAGAAGGTCAAGGATAATCAGTCTGCTACTACTACCACCTCCACCTCCTTTCTAACTATTAGTAAACGGTTCACACATTTATGCAGATAGGAGTCCTTCCATGTCAAATCAATGTGGAATCACATCGACTTTTTTTTTTTTAATTTGCTACACTTATAGATCTTAATGATGCGAATTGAATGGCACCAATCTTACCTCTCAAAGCTGACTAATTATTGAGTTATGACCTTTTGACATTTGCCAAAAATATGAATTTTCAATGATAGTGACAAAGTTTAAAATTAATATCTCTGTCTTTTTTTTTTTTTTTTTTTTTTTTTTTTTTTTTTTCCACCCAAAAGCTTATTTATATGCCATTTTGAAGTACTTGGGTGGATCTAAAATGTACCATATGTATTTTTATCTTAGAGGTCAAATAAGGCAAGTTGACTTTGACCATGACCTTTTAACCTCCATTTTCTCAAGAAAATGGTATTTATTTTTTTTTTTTTTTTTTTTTTTTTTTTTTTTTTGCAAATAATTTGTTTTATGTCAGGTACAAAAATTCATAGTAGGGGGAAACTGAGTAGAACTTTTGCTATGTTTTACTGAAATTTTCCCAATTTAAAATGGTGGATTTTGGTATTTGCCACTATATGCCAAAATTTTGGTATCTCACAATATGCTTAAGTCGTATCTTTAGAAAGCTTTTTTTTTTTTTTTTTTTTATGCTGAATAGCATTTACATAAGTACCATGGTCATAAAATTAATAATTTTTGTTATTTATGATTAAATAATGATAAATAGTTTGTTGGGGAAAAAAAAAACCTGACATTTTCAATTTTGTTTACAGTTTTTAATATAACAAACACTTTGTATTATGAAAAAGTGATATAATGAAAATAGACTTTTAAAAAGTGACATTAAAATAATGTTAACAATTTATCAGGCACTAACATTGAAAGAATATACAATATTTTGTCAGTGGTCAACATAATTCAATTGTACTTTATAGTAGTACATTAAATCCTATCTCTCTTATATATATATATATATATATATATATATATATATATATATTATATATATATATATATATTATATATATAATTTATATATACCAGAGTTTTGATATGAAAGTGATATGCTTAAATGAATGCTTAAAAATATTCTTAATATGCTGATATTCAATCAGTTGTTTTTGTTTGGTCTACATTCTTCTTTTTTTACAGTTGAAAGAAGATTAACAAGGTTTTACTACAAATTCATATCTTTTCTGGCATCCAAACCCATTTTATTACTAGCAATATTTAACAAGATAAAACAAAGTAAAAAAAAAAAAAAAAAAATATTTACTAGGTCAGTTGGAAATTGTATTACCAGGAATTGGCATCCGTAAGTCTGGCCCCAGTCATTTAGAATTCTAGAGAGGCAACTGGCTTGGATTTTTCACCAACACACAAGAAAACCAAGAAAATTGTAATATTTAGGAAACCTGACTTTTTGTCAAATAATCAGTGAGTGAAACCTCTTCACTAAGAAAATTTAAGTCATTTTGAGAAATGTTTGTGACAATCTTAGTCTTTATATTTTTACTAATGGCACAAATTTTTCATAAATAAAATCTTTATAACTAGCTAATACCCTTAAAAACGTATGAGAAATCTCACGCTCTCAAACTATAAATTGTTTTTGAGACATTAAGGGCCTTTTCACTTTGCTGAATCAAAATGAGGCATCATCACAACACAAATAATGTAACCCTTTTAGAATTCATAAAAAAAATATTACAAAACATTTAAGTTTATCACAAGACTTTTCTAATAAAACTATTTAAATTGATTCCTGGTGAAACTGATTTACTGCTTCTAAATGAGTCTGTCAATTATTGGCGAGTTGCCAGTCAAGTGCCAAAAACTCAAACCAGTTATAGGAAAAAAGTGCACAAGATTAACAGAGCAAAATTACTTCAAACATTTCTCTTAAGGAATCCACTTTTGCAGAAGAGTACAAAAACTCTGCAACAAATCCTCACCCAAACTGTAAATTTCAATATAACCTTTTCAGCACTAATAAATGTAGTCCATTGTTGTTTGTGCCTGTTGATCATATTTTATACTGATATGAGGAAATGTTAGAACCTACTTTAGCTGGCTGTTAACGGCCTTGAACTTTAACCTTTCTTCAGTCTACTTATCTTTGCTGTTTTCCAGCTACCCAATTTTGATTATGCTTGTGCATACATTATTTAAATAGGTGCTTCAAGGTGACTGTGTTGTAACATTCACTTCCAAAAATGGGATTAACATATCTAAGTAAATCCTCTGTACTTTCTAGTTAAAATTAAATTGAAATAGTACTGTTTGGTTATGTTTTTATTTTTTTCAATATAATTAAACTCTTAAGGTTTTTGTTTTTTGCTAGTGTGTTGAAAATATGGCTAATAATTGATAATGACTGGAGAATTTAAAATATACTCGTATTGATTGCAGAGTTCTAATCTGCAAAATTTTTCTTAAAATAAGTTTTTGTCTTGTTTTTTTTGTTTTTTGTCAACCACCATACATCTTATTTCTTTTGATATAAGAACACCTGTTATAATTGTAAAAATGTTTAGCTTTAATAGAGTAAGGTGAATATTAGTACCTTTTCTTTTATTGATGTTGATCCATTTACATACTAGCAACCATCTGACAGTGGGAATAAGACAATCTGAAAGTACTAGACAGTTTTTTAAAAAAGTCAGAATTGGTGGTCCTTGATGCTTATGAATATGGTATATAAAGACACTATGAAGCTTTTATCTGGAAGTACTGAAAGTACTTAATCTTCTCAATGTTTCAGCTGGTTTTCACTAAGTCTACTCTATTCAGCCCAGGGATT